GATCTTTTGCCTACTGGTTTTGGCTCTAGAAGCCAAGGTGAGAGCTGTAGCTGCCAGTGGCACATAGGTTTTGGAGAGGTTAGCCTCAATCCTACTTTCCATTGGTTCTCTAAGTGAACCAGAATTATTAATAGGAAGGATGGTTCTCCTGGTCAACCTTAGTGCAATCATTGCTGCTGTGTTGGATTTCTTAAACAGATACAATTTAGGCCACTTGCCCCAGCTCACAACATGTTTCCCTGACTTGTCCCATTTTTTCTGAATGTGGTTCTTATTCATATGGTATCATGAAGTGGGAAAGCTATTTCCTTCTTTATAAAGCTGGCAAAATGTTAGCTGTTGTCTCCTCCAGCCTCAATGTCTTGTGACTGCCTCAAGTAGAGCTTCCATTATCTTCTCATAAAATCCACCAGAATAAGTTTGTTCTTCACCCAGAGTAGCCTTCTTACTTTCTAAAGAGATCATCTCTATCACAGACCCCTATTCAAAAATATCACCCTCTGATTGTTCCTGCAGTAAAGGGAGCTTGTTGTGGTAGCTTTCATGACTGCTTCTGCAAAGACATTTCTGATAACCACATCCATGGGACAAAAAACTAGATTCATGGGACATAGGAGGATCAGCCACCAAGTTAATACTTTACTTCTGCTGCCATCTCTTTACATGCCTCACAGAAGATTGGCCTTGATCGATTTGCAGGAGAAACTGGGAATCTTCTTGGAGACCTGTGGTAACTGAAATATATGCAAACGATGAAGCACTCTTTTTAACGTTTTTACAAATTGTATTATGTAGAAAGGTACCACATAAGAAATAATATGGCATACATTGATCCTCTAGATGGTGACCTATTTCTTTTCTGCTTGCAGAGGTCATAAGGAACAGTTGATATACACTTCACTAGAATAAATGAAGAGGTCTGTCTGGAAGTATCCAGCAATGTAATATGAAAAATAGAGACATTTATTGAAAAAGATACAGGAAACATTGCACATAGGAAAATTACGTCTCAGTCCCCTTCAAAGTAGGCACCTTGGGACCTCACACAGTTCTCCCAGCGTCTTTAACACTGTTCAAAACACTCTGAAAAATCCTTTGATGGAATCATCATCAGCTGCCTTGTCTTATACACCTGAATCTCCTCGACAGTGCAAAATCTCTTCCCTTTTAAAGGTAATTTTAGTTTTGGGAAAAGTCAGAAGTTGCAGGATGCCAAATCTTTCAACAGATTCACAACCATCTTTGAAACCTTTGTGCCACACTTTTCTCTGTGCTGCACTCTTTGCATCATCCCCGAAAGCCTCCCAAATCATCGGAATAGTTTCCGCAGAGGAATGTTTATGCTTAATGAAAAAATTGATCCAGATTCGCTATTCTACTCGCACAGTCATCTTGGATGGGACGGCCACACAGTACACATACTCTCTCAATGGTGTATTTTGCCAGTGACATTGTTATTGTTTACGCATGCGCATTCCAGTTCATTCTCCTTGGCTGCCAGTTTACATCGGTGTCGTGCAAATCATTCTTGTTTTTTCGGGACAGACTTTGTATATATATAATTAATTGATGTTCTTTTTCCTCCTGGGTGGTATATTTATTCCTCATTCTCAGAATAGTTTCATCTCATCTCTTCTTGGGTACCCCCCAGGTACACTGAGTTAGAGAAATATTTTTATTTTTAATATTCTGTTTTAGCAGATTGCAGAATTAAATATATGGGTATTTAGAGTTTACTTCAACAACAAAATGAGAGAAAAAAATAAAACAGTTTTAATTGTTTCTGTTGGCCCAATCCTCAATGCCTTGCCTGGAAAACATTCTAGATCACCACATGTGTTCATTATGTAAAGTAGAAACACGCCTGACCTGTTAAATTGAAATATGCACACATCTTATAATAACCAGGTGCAGCACCTTACAAAATAAACTGGTGTGACAAGTGCAAACAAATAACTTGCATCATAATCTCTTCCTTATTTGCATCTCTATTTCCAAAGGCAAATTAGCAGCAAATCGGTTACCCAACACATAGCTGATTTCAAATAATTATTTGTGAAGTGGACTACCGGAGTAGAATAATATATATATATATATATATATATATGTATATATATATATATATATATATATATATATATATATATGAGAGAGAAAGAGTATTGAAATATATTATTTCACTGGGCCTGGTACTTACAATGCTAAACATTCATTTTCTGCACTTTCAGAGTGTAATGGTGTTGTGGAGAGAGGCACTGAGGCTAGTGGTGTTGTGGAGAGAGGCACTGAGGCTAGTGGTGTTGTGAGGAGAGGCACTGAGGCTAGTGGTGTTGTGGAGAGAGGCACTGAGGCTAGTGGTGTTGTGGAGATAGGCACTGAGGCTAGTGGTGTTGTGGAGAGAGGCACTGAGGCTAGTGGTGTTGTGGAGAGAGGCACTGAGGCTAGTGGTGTTGTGGAGAGAGGCACTGAGGCCAGTGGTGTTGTGGAGAGAGGCACTGAGGCCAGTGGTGTTGTGGAGAGAGGCACTGAGGCCAGTGGTGTTGTGGAGAGAGGCACTGAGGCCAGTGGTGTTGTGGAGAGAGGCACTGAGGCCAGTGCAATAAGACTAGTGGTGTTGTAGAGAGAGGCACTGAGGCTAGTGGTGTTGTAGAGAGAGGCACTGAGGCTAGTGGTGTTGTGGAGAGAGGCACTGAGGCTAGTGGTGTTGTGGAGAGAGGCACTGAGGCTAGTGGTGTTGTGGAGAGAGGCACTGAGGCTAGTGGTGTTGTGGAGAGAGGCACTAAGACTAGTGGTGTTGTAGAGAGAGGCAATGAGGCTAGTGGTGTTGTGGAGAGAGGCACTGAGGCTAGTGGTGTTGTGAGGAGAGGCACTGAGGCTAGTGGTGTTGTGGAGAGAGGTACTGAGGCTAGTGGTGTTGTGGAGAGAGGCACTGAGACTAGTGGTGTTGTGGAGACCGGCTTGGAGACTATGGTGAGGCCTAATAGAAAGCAGTTGTTGTTGGGTGATTCCATTATAAGAGGTGTGGAGATGGACAATGGTGGTCTTGTGAGGTGTCTTCCCGGAGCTACTGCTCACAGAGACAGGAGACGTATCTGTAATATTGTTAAGCAAGCAAAGCAGGAAGGGGAATTGGATGTACTTGTCCATCTAGGGACAAATGACTTGGCTTGCAATGAGGTTTCAGAGGTTAAGGAAGTTTTAGTGTTTTTGCCAATGATATACGGCAGGTTGCTTCCACACTGTCATTCTCTGAAGTTCTGCCTGTGCATAACACTCAGAACGACAGGCGGATGCGTATTAGGGACTTTAACTTGTGGCTTGGTGAATGGTGTCGGGAGCAAGGATTTGGCTTTATTTCTCATGGTAGCTCTGTTTGGAATGGAATAAACCTGTACAAAAAAGATGGTTTGCATCTTTCTCAAAAGGGAACAAATGTTCTCAGTGAGCAGTTCAGAGGTTTTGCTAGGATGTATTTAAACTAGGAGGGGGGGGCAAAAGGGTGATAAAACATCAATCCAATTGTCCCCCAAAACAAGGACAGAAGGTGCCTGTAGCAAGTGTGTTAAAAAATGATAAGCTTAGAGTCATGTCTACAAATGCTCGCAGTTTAGGGAATAAGATCCATGAACTTGTGGCAATAATGGCAACTGATAGTGTAGATTTAGTCGCTGTTACTGAGACATGGTACAATGAGAAAAATGACTGGGACATAGCAATACCAGGGTACTCTTTATATAGGAAAGATAGGGAAGGCAAGAAAGGGGAGGGGTGGCCTTGTATGTGAAGGATAGCATAAAATCTAGCCTAATAAAAGTTAGTGAGGCAAACATAGAGTCCGTTTGGGCTACGTTAGAATTTGGTAATCACACAGTAACTCGTGTAGGTGTGATTTATAGGCCCCCAGGACAAATTGAAGAGTTAGATAATCTACTAGTTGAGGAAATAGCTAAAATGACAATGAAGGGGGAAGTTATCATCATGGGTGACTTTAATCTTCCTGATGTAAATTGGAAAACAAAATTAGCTACTTGTGCCAGGAGCACACATATTCTAAACTCCCTACTGGGATTGTCTCTAAAACAAGTTGTTGAGGAGCCAACTCGTAAAGAGGCCATACTAGATTTAGTGTTAACAAATGGAGATTTGGTATCAGATGTTACTGTAGGTGAAAGTTTAGGATCCAGTGATCATCAGTCAGTGTGGTTTAATATAAGAACAGTGACTGAGTCACACCACACAAAAACAAAAGTTTTAGACTTTAGAAAAACAGACTTTTCTAAAATTAGAATATGGGTAGAGGAGTCATTATCAGACTGGAGCAATTTAAATGGAGTCCAAGAAAAATGGGATTATTTAAAAGTTGCTCTATTGAAGGCAACAGAAAATTGCATTAGGCTGGTCAGTAAAAGCAAAAATTCAAGAAACCACTGTGGTACTCCGCAGATGTGGCCAAAATAGTTAAAAACAAAAAGTTAGCATTTAGGAATTATAAAAAAACCCAGAGTGAGGGAGACAAAATGATCTATAAGATTAGGCAGAAAGAGGCTAAGCAAGTTATAAGAGCTTCCAAATCACACACAGAAGAGAAAATAGCACAGTCAGTAAAAAAGGGGGATAAAACATTTTTTAGATACATAAATGAGAAAAGAAAAGTAAAACAAGGATTAGTTAGATTAAAAACAAAAGAAGGAAGGTATGTAGAAGAGGATAAAGGTCAGGCTGACTGCCTCAATGAATATTTTTGTTCTGTATTTACAGAAGAAAATGAAGGAAAGGGACCTCAGTTGAGAAAAAGGATAAATGAGTCATTTATTACACGTGAGTTTACAGAGGAAGAGGTTCTATTTCAACTGTCAAAAGTAAAGACAAATAAGTCAATGGGACCTGATGGAATACACCCAAAGCTATTAAAAGAGCTTAGTGGTGTACTAGCAAAACCATTAACAGATTTATTTAACCAATCATTGTTAACAGGAGTAGTCCCAGAAGATTGGAAGTTAGCGAATGTTGTGCCCATTTACAAGAAAGGTAATAGGGAGGAGTCGGGCAACTATAGGCCAGTAAGCCTTACTTCAGTAGTGGGGAAAGTGATGGAAACCATGTTAAAGGATAGGATTGATGAACATCTAAAAACACATGGATTTCAAGATCAAAGACAACATGGGTTTACTTCAGGGAGATCATGCCAAACTAATCTTATTGATTTTTTTGATTGGGTAACTAAAATTATAGATCAGGGTGGTGCAGTAGACATTGCTTACCTAGATTTCAGTAAGGCTTTTGACACTGTTGCACATAGAAGGCTTATCAATAAACTGCAATCTTTAAGTTTGGATTCCAATATTGTTGAATGGGTAAGACAGTGGCTGAGTGACAGGCAACAGAGGGTTGTAGTTAATGGAATATATTCGAAGCTTGGACTTGTCACCAGTGGGGTACCTCAGGGATCTGTACTTGGACCCATTCTCTTTAATATTTTTATTAGTGATATTGCAGAAGGTCTTGATGGTAAGGTATGTCTTTTTGCTGATGATACTAAGATATGTAACAGGGTTGATGTTCCAGGAGGGATAAGCCAAATGACAAATGATTTAGGTAAACTAGAAAAATGGTCAGAATTGTGGCAACTGACATTTAATGTGGATAAGTGCAAGATAATGCATCTTGGACGTAAAAACCCAAGGGCAGAGTACAGAATATTTGATAGAGTCCTAACCTCAACATATGAGGAAAGGGATTTAGGGGTGATTATTTCTGATGACTTAAAGGTAGGCAGACAATGTAATAGAGCAGCAGGAAATGCTAGCAGAATGCTTGGTTGTATAGGGAGGGGTATTAGCAGTAGAAAGAGGGAAGTACTCATGCCATTATACAGAACACTGGTGAGACCTCACTTGGAGTATTGTACACAGTACTGGAGACCGTATCTTCAGAAGAATATTGATACCTTAGAGAGGGTTCAGAGAAGGGCTACTAAACTGGTTCATGGATTGCGGGATAAAACTTACCAGGAAAGGTTAAAGGATCTTAACATGTATAGCTTGGAGGAAAGACGAGACAGGGGATATGATAGAAACATTTAAATATATAAAGGGAATCAACACAGTAAGGAGGAGACTATATTTAAAAGAAGAAAAACTACCACAACAAGAGGACATAGTCTTAAATTAGAGGGACAAAGGTTTAAAAATAATATCAGGAAGTATTACTTTACTGAGAGGGTAGTGGATGCATGAATAGCCTTCCAGCTGAAGTGGTAGAGGTTAACACAGTAAAGGAGTTTAAGCATGCATGGGATAGGCATAAGGCTATCCTAACTATAAGATAAGGCTAGGGACTAATGAAATTTTTTAGAAAATTGGGCAGACTAGATGGGCCGAATGGTTCTTATCTGCCGTCACACTCTATGTTTCTATGTAATAGACCATAACCATAAATCAGATCATATCTTAGATTCATGTCTGAGAACATATAAGACTGTTAACACTATATGAATCAAGAGTTTAGAATTTTTGTATCTGTGCAATGGGTTATTTTTTTTAACTTCAGGTCATTGAGACTTGGTTCATTGGCACCCTCATCCTGCTTGGCGTTCTGTCATGTCCTACACATGTGTCTCATTGTTTTTTTGTTTTTTCCTAGGTTCCTTCTTTATAATTTCTCCTGACCCTCTGGTCTGTCTCTTTAGTCTTGTGGCCTTATTGGGATTTACCTGTTCTTCTTCTTTTATCTTTCTTAAAGAAACATTCCATGCATCAAAGTCACTATAGAGGACTGTTGACTTGTGCCTATTGTGCTAGGAGTGCTTTGTCAAACCCCCGTTCCGGAATCAGTAGTCAAATTGTTTGCTAACAGTTACCTGGGGCATGGGCGTCCGCAGGAATTTTTCCAGGGGGGGGGCATAATTGTAATGACATCCATGCTTGGTACCTTTTTGACAGTGTCATGAAAGGGAAGGGGCATAGCCATTATCACATAAAGCCAGGGTGAATAGCGTTTTCACAACTGTGGTGTCAGGAATATATGTTTGTATTCCTGACACTATAGTGTTCCTTTAAGCAAATTAAAGGACATTTCTGGTCACCATAGCAACTTCACCTAAATGAAAATGCTATGATGCCAGGAAGCCCCTGGGTGCTCGCTTTCCTTTAAGGGGTTAAATCGCTCTCAAATGGTTTAACCCCAAAGGCTTCCTCCAGCTCCAGGTCGCTCAGTGGTATTTGGCTTCTGAAACAGAGTGTCAGGAAGTGCAGATTGGCGTCAGGCATGGGTGCCGCTGACTGGCTAGAGTGGTCAGTTGACGCTCTAAGCCAATCGCTAGTTCCCGGTTCATAAAATATTTTTACTTTTTTATGAATGGGGAGCTACTAATTGGCTTAGAGTGCCAGCTGACCGCTCTGGACAATCAGCAACACCCCCTACCCAACGGCACTCTGTGCTTCCTGACACTCAGTAAATAAAAGTGAACACATTAATACTGATATTTTTTTACCTTTGGAGATGAGAAGGTCCAGCGTTTCCCTGCCAGGCCCAGGTACCAATGCCTTATGATGTGGTGTCCAGAATAAAGTGGAGGGTTCACTTCATTTGTCCTTCCTGCTCCAATTTCCTTTTCCTCTCCTTCATTTGACAGTCTTTTTTTTTTCTTCTGACACTGTTTTCTATCCTTGGCCCCTTCTGCTCTTTTACCTTTCTGCTACTTTCTGCTTATTTTGCGCCCTTCTGCTCCTTTCTCATTCTGATCCCTTTCTGCTCCTTGCAGACCCTTTCTGCTCCCTTTTCTACTTTACCTTTGTGCTCCTTCTGATTCTTTCAGCTCCTTTACCTTTGTGCTCCTTCCTGTTCCTTGCAGGCCCTTCCTGCTCATTCTCCTATTTTACCTTTGTGCTCCTTCTGCCCCTTCCAGCTCATTTCTGACCCTTTCTGCTCCTTCTACTTTACCTTTGTGCTGCTTTACCTTCCAGCTCCTTGCTGACCCTTCCTGTTCCTTTGTGCTCCTTCTCCTACTTTACCTTTTGTGCTCCTTGCTATCCCTTCCAGCTCCTTGCTGCCCCTTTCTGCTCCTTGATGTCCCTTCCTGCTCATTTCTGTTCCTTCTCCTTTTCTTACTTTACCTTCTTGCTCCTTGCTGACTCTTCATGTAGGCTGTCTCCCCCATCCCTCACTTCCATAGGCGTGCGCACGGGGTGTGTCGGGTGTGCCTGGGCACACCCTAATCCCCGCGGCACGCCAATGGATTGAGACCGACAGGGGAGATCTCTGGATCTCCCCGGTCGGCTCATGCAGAGCCGACGCTATCCGAGCGGCGGCTCTGGTCTAAGCCTACATGGGCTGGTGGGGAGATCAAAGTTCGACCTCACCGGTCCACAGCAGCATGGAGGGAGGCAGCAGAGAACCCGGGCTAGAGTTCACTCTCCACTGAACCACCAGGGAAGGCAGCAGGACTGGGATATTAACTAATCTGCCCCCACCTCCACCCAAACATACAGCACATACACACACACAGCACCTACACACAGCACACACAGCCCACAAACAGCACCCACACACATACATCACCCTCGCACACACAGCACCCACACACACCCAGCACACTAACAGCATCCTCACAAACAGCACACTCACACACAAACAGCACCCTGACAAACACACAGCACACAAACAGCACACTAACAGGACCCGAACAAACATGCACACACAAACACCCTCTCACACACACACACAGCACACTACCAGTTCCCTCACACACAGCATACAAACAGCACCCTCACACACAGCACACTAACAGCACTCTCACAAACACACACAAAAACACCCTCACCCACATAGCACACTACCAGTGTATATATATATATATATATATGTATATATATATATATATACACATACATATACATATACACATGGTGTGTGTTTGTGCTTTAGGGTGCACACCCTAATGTAATAGGCTGCTCCCCCCCCCGGCTCACTCCCCTAATCTACAGGCTGCTGCCCCCCCCCAAATCTATAGGCTGCTGCCCCCCATAATCTATAGGCTGCTGCCCCCCCTAATCTATAGGCTGCTGCCCCCCTAATCTATAGGCTATCTCAAACCCTCCCCCCATCCCTCACTTACCTGATCTGTAGGCTGTCTCTGGCTGCATGTGTTGCTCCCCTGCGGTTTCAATCAGCAGAGAGAAGCAGGGATAAGATGCAGCTTCCTATCCCTGTCTCTCTCCATACACAGCGCCACCTACTGGCCGGCGCCGGTATTGCAGTTCATTTTAAATCTCACACAAAATAGCAGGACAAGCTGAAAAATCCAGGGGGGGCAAGTGCCCCCCCTTATCCCCCCCTGCGGACACCCATGCCCAGTATAGGAATAAAGGGGCTTGGGTCATACTATCTAAAACATTGCAAATTGAACTGAAATGGCTATTGGAAATTGCACACCTCAATACACCACATCCGCTTCTTCTGCAACAGTGACCTTTGTTCTCCAGCTTGAAATACTGACCATCTGCTGTTGGCCAGACTCCTCAAATATTAGCATTAAGAGTCTATTAATATATATTACATTTATTAATATATATATTTATTAATATATATTAAGCAAGAGCTTCCTAAGCTGTTGCTTAATATATATATATAATAAAAATATAATTTGCTTTCTCACCTCTCTCTGGGTGGTATTTTTTGTGTTTTCCTAATTTTTGGGTCTTCTTCTGCACTCTACTGGACAGATGTCTTAGATGTCCCACCTGGAATCTGCTGAAGCCACTATCTCAACTTGAGGGTTACAGCCCTGAGTGTTCCTTTCACAACTTTGAATACTACGGTCTTCACTTTCCACATCCTTTCTATCTCCTCTTTAGGTACTTGGAGGTATAAGAATAGGACAGGTGGGTGGGCTCTGCTGGTGGTCTGTGAAGCATTCTACATATGCTCTGTGCTGTTCATGCCATGTAGGTCAGTGTGTCTTATGTGTTTATTGTGAAATGTGATTGTGGGCATTTATTGTAAGTGAAATTGCTTTATACCCAGCTTTGTGAATAACTCTGGACAATAGATTTTTTTTCACCCTTGGATGGAGTTTAATCTGGCCCTGATTGCCTCTGTTACACGTTATAACTGTGACATTTGTGTCCATTCTGTGTCTGACACCTTAAACAAATCAAAGATAGAGCTAAGAATCAAGGCAGGTAAAAAAAAAAAAAAAAATAACATTTTATTACAAAAAATAAATAAAAACCCCTCTGACCACTAGATAGGGATTTAAACTGCAAAAAAAAAAAATGCGGACAAAGTAAAACTGAATAAACAAGCATATTGAATGGTGTATGTTAGTGATATGAATGCCCAGGATTTGCCTTATAATTATGGTACCTTAGCAGATACCTGGAAGTTGGATAAGTGACTTAGTCTGACATTTAATGTTCCAAAGAGGATCTACTAGTGTCTTCGGTAATAGGATTTGGT